GAGAGCCGTTGGCTGTTTGGGCGGCTCGTCCCTCGGGGATTTTTTGCCACAGTGGCGTGTTGCGGCCGCCCTGTTTGCCTCTCCCGCCCCTCCTCCTCCTCCTCCTCCTCCTCCTCCTTCCCCTCCTCCTCCTCCTCCTCCTCCTCCTCCTTCCCCTCCTCCTCCTCCTCCTCCTCCTCCTCCTCCTCCTCCTCCTCCTCCTCCGCCGGCGCACTGCCCTCCTGTATCCCTCCTGTATCTCTCCTGCCTTTCCCTCTTCTGCTTGCCCGGCGCGCCTCGCCCCAGGCCGCCCCCCCTCCGCCCACCCGCCCGCTCTCGCCCATGCCAGCGGTTTCGCCCTGCGCCGCGTGCCCTCGCTGACCCGTCGAGGGCCCGATCCTCGTGTGGGGTGTGCAGATATGAGCGGGGGGGGGGCCGTGCCATCTGGCCCCGCGAGGCCCGAGGTGGAGCTCCCAGTGGGGCGCGATCCGCTCGAGGAGTGCGCCGAGGCAGCGGCATCGATCGGTATGGCGCTTAGGCTCCCTAACGGTCCGCGTTCGTCGTGGCGTGGATCGGCGTTTGCAGGGCCCTAATTAGTTGGTGGGACCTCGTGCGATCATGAAGCACACGTGCCAGGCCGTGCTCAGAAAACCCTCGATCACGTAAACCACTATGTGTTTTGCGATCGTACGAGGCTCGACCGTGGTCGCCGCAAACTTGCACGGGCCAAACCAGACATAATCAAAGTTTTCCGCTAGTGTCTTGCCTGCCTACATGGGGCGCGCAGGTGGACAGTCTCTGGCAAGAACCAGCTAGAGGGGGCCAAGGGCATCGGGGTGCGTGGTGGGCAAAGGTGCTGGCCGCTCCAAACACGTAGCACACATGCGTACATGTAACGTGCTTCTTCCTCCTCATCTTTTTCCTCTTCCTCCTTCTCTTCCTCCTCCTCCTCCTCCTCCTCCTCCTCCTCCTCCTACTCCTACTCCTCTCTGTTCTGCCTCAGGGACCTCCGAGGACAAATCATCCTTCTCCTCCTTTCCCTTGTCTCCCTCCTTCCTACAGTCAATGCGCCTAGTGAGGACGCGCGCCTTCATCTAGGTGACCCTTGTGTCCTTGCCTCTGCGGCCCGCGCTTTGCCGTTTTCGCTGGTCGCCCGTCGCCCCAAAAATCCCAACCTCGGCCTTCAAGTGTCTTGCGTCCTGACCACCCGCCCTTAATACACGGTTGGACTGTGATTCATCCTCGGAGGGTTCTGGAGGAGTCGGGGGATCTCGAGCAGGAGGCGTCTGGAGGCGTCGGGAGGAGGAGAAGGCGGGGGAGGAGGGAGGCGGATGAAGAGGAGGAGGAGGAGGAGGAGGCGGTGGAGAGTCCGTAGCGATTTTGGCCCAAGAGCCGACAGGAGGCAGCATCCGCTCGCTTTGCCCATCTTGTTCTTGCTACGATTTTCCTTTCAGATTCATACCCGTGGGTGATTCTGCTCTCGCCGCTCTCCGTGTGATCGGGCGGCGCAGGCACCTTAACATACATAATTCGCCAGACTACAACACAGCAGTTCTCGCCTTTTCTGCTTTTCGGGACGCCTCATCACGATCTTGCAGCCGGCGCCCCGCAAGCTCCGACCTCTAACACAAAGTCGCCTACGTACATCGAGGTCTACATCTTCAACGCGACCTCGAAGTGCACCACGGGCTGCCACATCGAGCCCGATTCCAGGAAACTGTCGAAGATGCGCGTGTTTCTGGCCAGTTCTCATCTCACGAGATATCTTGCATGCCGAAAATCGTGGCTCAGCGCAATACCAGTTCGCACCGTTCCGCATTGGCGTACCGCCATATACCTGTTGTGCCGCCTGGTGTTTGGGACACTCTTCAAAAGGAGGCGCCTGAGTTCATCCCTGCCAGTTTCCCTGGGAGCACGGCCGCGCCCGCTGCCGCACAGGAACAGCCGCAGAGCAGCCAGACCGAGACGCTCCAACCACCTAGGCAACCAGCGCCTGACGTGGGCCACCCACCCACCGACGTGCTGCGATCCGCGGCGGCAGAGGCGCTGGCTGAAGCACCAGCGAGGTCTCACACGGCCGACTCGGCAGACGAGGCAGACGTGGGCCAGGCAGCTGGCAGCCAGAGCCAGGCGGCCGAAGCAGGCCGCGATGCCTCGGAGGACCAGGCGGAGGCACGGCGCCTGGACGGCAGGCCTGGCTCTAGCGCAGCGGGGGCTCCAGAGGCTGCCGCGCGGGCTGCCGCGCCTTCCGACGCAGCCTTGGACGGTCGCGGTGCCATTGCCGGCCTCGAGATAGAGGAGCAGGCCGCATACATCGAGGTTTCCATCACCGAGCTCTCCGCCTTCGTCGTCTACGAGGCCGCCACGGCGAGGCGTGATGGCGCCACGCCAAAGGCCCTTCGCGCCGCCTGGGACCGGCTACCTCCCGAAGACCAGGCAGCCCGGGTACCGCGTCAGCCACGTCGAGAATTCGCCATGGACAAGAAGTGGGCGCCCCTGCTGTCCCGCAACACCGACGACCAGCTCGAAACCTGGGACGCCCTCGACATCCCGCTCAGCCTCCGGAGGCCATGACAAGTCTCCGCCGACGCCTTCGAGGAGCAGTCCGCGAGCTCCAGCGAGACCGAGAGCGACAGCGAGGCCGAGCCAGAGGCCCTGCATTCGGGAACGCCGGCGGGCGCAGCGCCTTCGGAGGCCCACCCGAGGCGGCACGTTTCCTTTGAGAACAAGGTGCGTTTTCTGGACAACCCCTGAGGCAATGAGGCGCCCCCCACCTCCTTCACTTTCCTCCCCTTTCCTAGCTCACCGCAGCCCCCGAGGCGGCCGCCCCTGTTCGCATGGGTTCTGGGTATTGCATGGTGGGTGACGGCGAGGTGGGGGGGGGGGCGGAGGAAGCCTCGCGGCACAAGAACGCTGCCACCGCCCCGATGCAGGCCCGCTGGCGTGCACAGTCTTGATCACCCCTCCCCCCCCTCCTTCCTGCTAAATCATTTCATCTCCCCCTTTTCCTGCTCCTGAAGACCCTCGTCGTTGGCACGAACTGTTATCTCGTACAGCGCCACCGATTCTTGGCAACTGTAGGTTGCGGTGCTGAACCCGAGAACAAGTGATTGAAAAACACCGGGGGACGGACCCGCAACAGTGCGAGTTACGCCTTTGTTTGCAAACGCTGTCGAGGGATTTGCTCGGAGGTTACTGGAGTGAGCCGCCAAGCCCCAGACGCGCTGGCTGGGACAGCCTGCTTTTAGCTTCAGCGAACAGAGCTCCACGCCGCACTGCGCCTCTCCTTCCGCCCGCTGGCACGCACGCCCCGAGGCGACTTCTAGGTGAACTGCGAGCTTATGTTATCTCCCAACCTCCCCCCACTTCCTCGCCCTTCTTCTCCCATTCTCCCGTCGGACGGGCTGGGCGGGATGGGATGGGGTTGGGATCGGGAAAGAGGGGTACGACATGTTGTTCGCGCAGCCCGTGCGTGCCCTCTGAGGGCTGGCGTCGCCGCAGGCGCATGCATTATATCCGCCGCCTCCTTCCCCTACCGTCAGAACGGTCGTGTGCATCGCGAGCTCCTAACACCGCGGGGCGACCAGCGGCCCCGGAAACACTGGCACCGCCTGATTAACATATTCCTGATTGCAGCCTGTTTGCTGGACCCGCCCGCACACGCCCCTAGTTCCAGTCCAGCGTGAGGTCGCGTGCCGACTCACATTTTCTGCTGCGTGACAGAGCGGGGACAACCGAACCTTGCTCTGCCGACGGGGTCCCCGCCCGCTTCAGGCGAAGACAGCCGCGCCTCTACGCAGAGCCCCAGCGAGATGCGCCCTGGCCTCGCTCGGCACCAGCTCCTGCAGTGGTGTGTGTAGGCGTCCCAGCACCGCCGAAACACCGCGCGCAGGTGTCCTAGCAAGGGGACGGGGAAATGGAGGACTTGGAGGTTCGATTGTGTCGTGTTCGCACGGGGCGGAACGCCCGCACCTGCCACTGGCCGCCGCGGCCCCGGGGCCGACCGCCGCGCGCCGCCAGCGGGCGGGGCGGCGGCAGCGGCGCAAGGCGCGCCGTGTTAAGGAAGGGAGGGGCAGTTTATGGGGAGGTGGGGAGGACCTCTGGCGCTCTCACACTGCTGATTTGTTTCGTTTGACCCCCCGCCCACCTCTGGGCCCGCAGCCAGGGTTGGGTGGGCAGGATTGGTGGATAGATTTCGGGCGCTGCCGAGTCAACTAATAGAACAGCACAGACGTGGGAGAAGAACGCTGCGAACCTCGTGTTTGAACTCCGACAAACATCAAGAAAGGCGGGGAGGGGGAGGAGGAGGAGGAGGAGGAGGAGGAGGAGGAGGAGGAGGAGGATCTGAGCATACTGGGACGTGGCCGCGCCGGCAGGCGGAGGCGAGTATTTCCCGCCATCGCCACGGCAGAGGAGGTGCCACCCAGGCCTTCCCAGGCCGGCCATGGCGGCGAGTAGAGGGCGACGGTCGCCATGGAGGAAACGTCGGGACGTCCTCGCCGGACCTGGGCTAGGGACCGTCGCCATTGAGGGCCGTTCTCCATGGCGACCGTCACCCTCTCTACCGGGTTGATGGCAGTACTGGCATGACCGTGGGGGGTTCTAAGTGGATAGGGAGGGTACAAATGGATGCTCAGGTGCGTTATCTCTGGCCCAACCTGGCTTCTAAGTGGGTTACAAGTGCCCCGAGTGGCTTAGGGGGGTAGATAATTCCGCTAAGTGGGCGGAGCCCACTTAGCCTGGATCGTTAACCCCCTAAGCCACTCGGGGCATTTGTAACCCAGTTATAATTAAGCCAGGTCTGGCCAGAGATAACGCACTTTAGCATCCACTTGTAACCCCCTGTCCACTTACAACCCCCCACGGTCATCCCAGTAGAGGATGGCCGCCGTCCATGGCGACGGTCCCCAGTTGGCGGTCGGCCCTCCATGGCGACCGTCGCCATGGAGGGCCGACCCTCCACGGATTGACGTCCATGGATGGGTCCTGAAGGACACGTCGGTCGGGGCTAGGCCGAGGATCAAACCGTTACGGAACGGTCTGAGAAGGTCGTGACGTCTGATGCATCCTCCAGAGCTGCCAGATCTTAGGGATTTCCCTTTCATCCTCACCGGAATTTGAAGCGGGTCCTGGCCCCGGGATTGTCAGCAGGCGGCTCAGGATGAAGAGCTGGTCCTGGGGGAAGGCCCCAGTGTCCAGTGCCCGCTCCCCTCGGGACCCGTTTTCTTCATACCAAGACGGGCCCTTGAGGGCCCCGAGTGCCAAGAGCCGTAGCCGATGGCGCAGGGCCCCAGCAGTTCGCTCAACCGTGGGCAGGGCCGTGCCTGCGCCAGCTTTCACGATGACGACGGCGACGAGGAGGCGGCGACGAAGACGAGGAGGAAGAGGAGGAGGAGGAAGAGGAGGAGGAGGAGAAGGAGGAGGAAGAGGAGGAGGAGTAGGAGGACGACGACGTCGATTACGAGACCACTACCGGCCAAGCCGCAGGTTTTGTCGCTGGGCGGCTGGCGAAAATTGAGACAGAGATTAACCCCTTTGGCGGACAACCCGCCGTTTCTGTCCAGGGACGCTCGGGATTCCATAAGGCCATTTCGGGACGACGACGAGGGGGAGGGTGGCCGACGCAGGACCTTGCGGACCTCATACAGAGCAGGTTCGACGAGTGGGCCCACGACAGGGCGGCGAAGTCGCCGCGCAGCATGGTTGCAGTGTCCTAGCGAGTCGATGGCCAGATGTCTGCACCCGAGGCCATAATTTTATAAGACGAGCAGATCTTGCCCTTCAGCTCCTTCCCAGACCTCTGGGCGGCGCGGGGACGTCACGGCAGTGTGGCCTCAGGATCTAGGCCCCCAGCGGCCGTTGCCAGGCCTTGGGACCACGGACGAATCATCCGCAACAGGAACAGGTCAGGAGGGGGGGCCGGGATAAAGACAGATCGTTCCATAGCGTCCCCTCAAGTTTTCCGAGTGTATAGCTCCGGCGCCCGATACGCCATCCAGACCCGCCAGGCCTCAGAGATTCCGTAGTCATCCTCATCCGAATGTGTCCTCTTTCTGTTTTCTTCGCAAGAAGAAGGGGAGTCCCGTGATGGAAGTTGAGGGCTCGAGAGACCACGCCGTGGCAAAAGTCACGACATCAGAGGTCTGGGCCTTTCGTTGATATTCAGCAGGGCGCGCAGGCAGCATCTCGCATTGGCTGGGACGAGGAGGCGGACACAAAAGGTCTGCCCCCCGCTACTCTGTCACGCGTGCGTGCTTGTCTAGGCCTCCCAGATGGGGTCCGAGTAAATGGAGTCGAGGGCTCGCACCGCATAGCCTGTGCCTCGCCGATCTGGCCGATGTGGAGCTCTGTCTTCTTCACGCCGACGTCGCCGATGCATCGGCGATGCCGCGCGATCCTCCGATTCCATCTACTGGGACCCCATTGGGAGGCTTCTATCTTGGGTAAGGCGCCGTCTGTTTCACATCCAACTGCGCGCAGCGGCGTTCAAAGGTTGACGCCTGGTCTGCGTGCGGCGGAGGTGTACTGGCATTTCTCCATACCGTTTTAATGGGAGCGTTTGTCCACTCCTGCTCGAACGAGCCTCGGGTTGCTGATGGAGCTTCTGGCGCTGCTGAGCAGCGCCGCAAGCGCTGCAGGCATATTATAGTCCTGCGAGATCTGGCGTCACCGTAGTGTAGGCTGAGTTTTTCCCTGGGATGTGTGGCAGGGTGAAGGAGAAAGGAGGAGCAGGAGCAAAAAGGAACACCTGAATGAGCAGCAGTTAGAGGGGAAACATGGAGGGTACCATCGGAGGAGGCGATGCGTGAGGCTCAGATTCCTGAAGAGTTGCCCAAGTGCCCAGGGGGGGGTCTTGATCGTTACGTGTAGAACAGGTATTGCCCGTGATACGTTTGGATTGCGGCCGAAGTGTTAGGCGGGGGGGGGGCAGGTCGAGTTCATTGCGGGCCATTTACCCCAGGCGCCTCCAGCATTACAGGTCCATCCCGCGTGTGGTGCCACAAGGCTCCTTCTGTGGGCCTACTTCGATGACGACATCAGACTCTTTGAGCGATGTGCGAGGGATAAAGAGAGAGAGAGAGAGAGAGAGAGAAAAAACAAAAAAAGTGGTCGACAGGTCCTCTCGGCGCATGCTTGTCGTGACAATCGTATTTCTAAGTCGTTGTGTGCGTGTGGACATTCGTCTGTTTCCTATTCGTGCGTGCGTGCATGTGTGCGGGGGGACGCTCGCTTCTAGGAGCATCGCTCAGCCAAGCCTCCATTCAAGGTGGCTGCGAGCGCAATCATGTTACTGCCCACCGATCGGATCCATTCGTCGGAGGAAGAAGTGTGGGTGTGCGGTACCTGCCTGGCTCTGCCGCGTTGCTGCGCGCGTGGCCGCGACGCCACACTGTGTGTGTGTCGTTTGGCACTCGTTGCAGAAAGTGGATATCATGTTTAGTTCGTGCCCCGACCTTGCTACATACCGATGGCTGCAACCCCCTGGCGCGTGGGAGGAACGGCCCATGTCTTGTTTTCATGCTTGTCCGGCCTGCATTTGCTGGCCCGCCTCTGCTCAGTGCTCGAGTAAGCCCGGCTTCGCCAGGATATCAGTTGCGGCTGCTTTTTACACCAATTGGTGACTTGTCAGTTTATGACGATCGACACCCACCCTCGCACGTTTGTACATCGCCGACTGGCTCCCATCGGCGCGCCAGAGTGACAAGTCTGTGTTTTCATGTGTGTGTGTGTGTGTTGTTGTGTGTGTTGTTTGTTGTGGCTTTCGTCCTCATCGCCTCCGTGTGCGAGCGCGCGCGGGTTCAGCGCCTCGTTGGAGCGCTGACCGTGCCATGGTGCACCCTTTTTGTTCATGTAGTCCGTTGCAGAATCGCCAGTGGTCGTAGTTTGGATTCGCACTCGCATCGTCTAGGCCAACACTGGAAATAACATGTGTGTTTGCGTCTGTGTGTGCGCGGGGGGGTGCAAGCTGATGACTTTGAGCGCAGTCCGCCATCGTCATTATCCGCTGACTGGTTTCTGCAGCGTGTCGGAAGACAGAGTGTGCGAGCGCGGGACCGCTGCCTGGCGAGCCTGTGCGTACCCTGCTTTGGTTGCGGTTCCTTTCCGTGGTGGCTTTTGCGCAGGATTCCCCGGGCTTTTCTGGATCCAACTCGCTGGCGTCTGCCGGTTTGGTTGGCCTCGTTCTATTCCCGTGGTTTTGCGCAGTGCGTCTTCGTTCGTCTCTCTCGCCTCCGGTGGTTTGGGCCGTTGTTTCACCGTCGTCGGCCTCGTCGTCGTCGTCGTCGAGTCTTTCCCTCTCCAGGTGGCCTCGCCTGAGTTTTGTTACTGCAGTGGTGTCCATCAGTTGCGCGGGACATTCGCCAGATTTGGCGCACGTGACTCGATCGTATTGCGCGGTTGTTCGCTTCGGCTCGACACTCACTTGGGAGAGCACGGTCTTTGCTCGATCGCATTCGTCATAAGCAAAGGTGCAATTTTGCGTTTGTGTTAACCAGCGGTTGCTGCGACGCTGTGGATGAGGGACAGAACGTGGTCGGACACATGTGTCAAGAGGTTGAAGCGTCAGAGCGTATGTTTGTTCACGCCGTCTGCGGGATGTTAACGCATTGTATTGGTGTCATGCACCAATGACATTGCGACAACATCATTGCAGAGCTGTGTGGGTGACTCTCTGATTGTGTGTCTTGCATGCAGCGGAATCTGTCGCCAGAGTATGGAATCATATGTGTCGGCAGCCGCTGTGACCGGGTGAACGCAGTCGCGGTTTCTTCGGCTATGTTGCTACGCATTGCCCATGTCTGGGCCAGGGGCGCACGAGGGCCTCGCGATTCGATAATAAGTTTCGCGTCCTTTCAACGTCGAACTTCTGGAGTCTTTCCATCTGTCGCACAGGATAACTTGTTCTTCCTCTTCCTCCCACGAAGAAAGTCATCTGCGGCCGCCGAGGGTGTTCCTTGAGTCAGATGGCTTCTCGCATCCCAGAGTTCCTTGACAGGCGAAGGCCCAGGATAGCAGAGAACAACGCATCTTTCACATGTGAATCTCGACACGATGTCCATTCTGGCCAGCCCGATGAAATTTGATCTCGATTTTCCCTCGATCGAATGCGGGCTGACGCTTGCCTGGTGGTGTTGTGCATCCTGGCGCGGCCGATCCGATTCGATTCCGACTCCGAGCTGGCGTATTCCGATCTGATGGTGACCGTTTTTGCAGGGTTCGCCGGTAACTCACCTGGGTTTTCGGGCTCTCCCCCCCCCTGGCTTTTCGGGCTGCCCAAAGCGAAACAGTTGGGCCATCGGCCGGCCCCCCCCCCCCACGCCCCCCATCGGACATGTCGGTTTCTCGCCGACAAACACTTGTCTCATGCTGACCGGTCTTGCCGCGGAGGGGCCGCCTCATTTGTGTGGCCTCGAAGAACGAGGCGGCAGACGTGGAGGCGGCCTTCCGCGAGCGGAGCGCGGACATGGAGCTGCAGCACGGGCAGGTGCCAGGCCGGACGAGGTAGGGTTCGGATGCTAGCGTTAAGTCGGGCCTGTCCCTCTACAGGGGGAATATTCAAAAATAGTAAAGAAATTGTCTGGGGACTATTTTTTGACTATTTTCGCTCCTTTGGGGGGCATTTTTGAGTATTCTTTTTTCGCCCGCAATCCCCCTGTAGGGGGACACGCCCGACCTAACGCTAGTGTGCATTGGGTGCAGAAAGTTGCATATCTTGTGCCCTGCAGGCGCCTGGGAGGGCCGCCCCAGGGCCCGAAAGGGCACGGACGGTGCACGTCTCGACGGTTCCCATTCATCGCCCCCCCGTAACCAGTGCCCAATCGGAAGCTTCAGCCAGCATGAGACGGGGTTAAGCGCAGACTGGGCTCAGCCAGAGCGCCAGATCTTGCAGGATCGTGCAAAGCTGGATTTCGGGTGAGTTCGGTTGCAAGTCCTGGTAGCCTTGTGTACCTTCGTAGTTCCGCCTGTAGAGGGCCTTAGCGTCGACCAGCGTCTGGTAGTTGGTGGGATGGCTTCGATGTAGCGTGGATTAGCGTCGACCAGTGTCGATTTAGCGTCGATTTAGCTTCGATTAGCGTCGATTAGCGTCGATTGGCGTCGATTCGCACGGGGCCTAACCAGAGCGCCGGATCCTGCTTGATCGAGCAATGCCAGATTTCGGGCGAGTTGGGTTTGGGAGCCGTTCGCGGCTCTGGAGGTGGCCTCGCATATTGGCGGGGCCTGGTTTGGGATGCGCGCGGGCCAAATGCAGCACATGTGTTTCCAAATTGGTTTCTGAGCTGGGTTAGTCCACGTCCGAAGTCTTGGGTGCGGTGTCTTTTCGGCACGATCAAACGGGGGTCGGAAAAGGAGTGGGAACGAAGGCCAGCACCAATTGTTGTCCATCTCGAGCCAGATTCGCTGCCCGATCGTATCTAGTTCTCCCCTACCTGTGTCGCACGTGCACTGGAACTTTTTCCGTCGGCGGCGAGGCAGGGGTCGTCTGCGCTAGCGGAATGAGCTCAACGAGGGCACCGTTGCAAGGGGTGTGAGGGGCGAGGGCCACTCAGGGGCGGACAGGTCGCGTCCTCGTGTCGGGCGTACGTTGGAAGAGGCATGGGCGTAGGAGGCCTCGTGTTCGGGGGCAGCAGCGACCACGACAGCTCCAGGGCTGGGGCCCGGCTGGCGGCGCCTCTGGCGGCCCGCCTGGCGCGCTCCGCGCGCCAGGGAGGGGCATCTGGCGCCGATCGAAGCAATCCGCGCGGAGCACCGGCAGTTTCTGCGTATCTGCGCTCGTCTCGTCGGGCCGGAGTCGCGGGCGTCAGGATGCTTCGTCGAGGAAGACGGCCGCATCGCTCGAGAAAGAGGTTTCGCACATGACGATCTCGCCGCATGTCGCGCACCACCAGGGACTCACCACTAGGTTGTTTGGCGTCCGCAGGTGCAGAATGCTCCTGCTTTGACATCTGACCGATACGTCTTCGACCCAGCCACATAGCAGGGCCCGTCTCGATCCGATTCGATTCATATCGATTCTGGTTGGCCCGATGCGACTCGATTCCGATATTCGAATGCGTGCGCTCTGTGGACGTTTGGAAGTGGTAGTGTTCGAACCGCCCCCCCCCTGAATTGCAAGAGGAGGTGGGGGTGCCTCAAGGCGAGGGGTGGTGCGAACCAGGAGGGGCCCCTCCCTCGATTGTTGGAGTGGGGGGTTCGAACCGGGAGGGGGATTCGCCTCTTTCAAGGGGGGGGATGGTTCGAACCGGGTCCTCCCGCACCCCCCTGAATTGCCAGGGGGGAGATCGAACCGGGGGGTTGGGCCCTCACCCTACAACCGACGACGGCCAGCGGCGGCGTCAGCGCCGGCGCCGGCGCCGTCGGGCAGCGACGACGACGACGACGACGTTGACGACGACGATGACAAGGACGACGACGACGACCACAAAGACGACATTGACGACGATCCCGATGACGACGACGATGACGACAGTGACGACGATAATGACGACAACGATGACGACGATGACAAAGACGACGACGGCGACGGCGACGGCGACGGCGACGGCGACGACGATGATGCCGACGTCAACGATGACGACGACAACGACGACGATGCCGATCATTACGACGACGACGACCACCACGACGACGACGACGGCGACAGCGACAGCGAAGGAGTACGAGCCGATAGTCTCCAGCGGCTACGGCCGCCTCGAAAAATGTAGGTCAGGGTAGAGTAGAGTAGAGTAGAGTAGGTCGGAATCGAGTACAGTAGGCCAGATGGTTGTGAAGCCTGGCACAATGCAGTACAGTAGAGGAGAGTAGAGTAGGATTAGGAGTATAATGGAGTAGAGAAGAGTAGAGTAGAGTATAGTGGTGTCGTGTAGAGTAGGCTAGGGCAGGGTAATGAAGTGTAGAGTAGAGTAGGGTATGGTAACACAGGGTAGGGTAAATGGTCGAGCAAAGCATTTCATAGTCGAATCAAGTCGAGTAGAGTAGAGTAGAGTAGAGCAGACAAGACCAGAGTCGGGGGGGAGTAGAGTAGGAGTAGGAATAGTGCGGGAAAAGGAGTAGGAGTAGGAGTAGTGTAGTATAGTGTAGTTTAGTGCAGTGTAGTGTAGTGTAGTGTAGAGTAGGTTAGGGCAGGGCAGGGTAGGATAGAGTAGAGCAAGGGTAGAGTCGAACAGAGGAGATTAGAGCAGGGTACATGGTAGAGTAGAGTCGGGCAGAAGAGAGTAAATTAGGGCAGAGTGGAGTCGAACATATATGAGTGTGTTCGAGTAGGGTAGGGTAGAGCAGAGTAGAGTTGGGCAGGAGCAGGGTAGAGTGAACGTAGAGCAGAGTAGGATTAGGAGTAGAGTAGAATTTTGATAAAGTAGTCTCGGGTAGGGTAGGGCGGAGTTGTGTAGAGCAGAGTATACTAGAGAAGAGTAGCGTAGATGGTAGAGTACAGCCGGGTAGAATCGCGTAAAGTAGAGTCGAGTAGAGTCCACCCCGTTCCAGTCCAGTCTACTCCTGTCCAGTCCACTTCAGCCCACTCAAGTCCACTGCATGTCAGCCTTCTGATCTATTTGGAATATGCGCTGGCTGATGTTCGTGAGTTTTGTAGTGCTTCTGTAGCGTGCTTAGCCGTTTGTTTTGTCTGTCGTCGCCGTCGTTATCGTATTTGCAGTTCAGAGGGGGTGCGGGCGTGGCGGTTAGGGAATCGGACGTGCGGGGGGGTGGGCCTCAGGACATGCTGAATGTGTTTTTTGGAGGGTCGGGGGCGGTTCCACGTGTTCAAATAATTTGTCCAACGTACGCGTCCACGAAACGCATTCTCTCCGATATGCCGACGATTCGATGCGGTACGATGTTTGAATGGCGTTTTTGCGCATCTTTGTGCACCCGATCCAATTCGATGTGTGATTCCGTGCCGATGTGGCCCGATCCGACGCACGTTCCGATTCGATACGAGTTCCCCATTCCACGCTGACTGATCCCGTGCGGAGTGCTTAGGCCAGAGCGGGGACCCCTGGCAGCCAGGTGACTTCGTGGCATGTCAATTTCGGCCCCAAGGTCGTCAGCCTGCGGAGGACGCTGGCCTCCGCGGAATTGCCCGGTGGCGCGCGATGCGGTGGCGGCGCCCGAGGGAGAGTCTCGGAGGTAGGGAGGTAAGCAGAGAAGTGAATGCGAGATATGTAGGGTCCATTTCGATGCGATCAATCTAATCGACATGACGCCGCGCCGTTTGTTCCGACGCGCGGCCTTGCGTCTTGGGGAGGGCGCCTCGGCAACCAGGGCAGACGCCGCCTCGGACGCGGCGGGTTTCCGGTGGGTTTTCCGCGTGGAGAGCGGGGCGCAGGGTTTGCCGTGGGTTTGCCGTGGTGTCGGCGTCGATGCGATAGATCCAATCGACATCGACTCTTGTGGGCTCGATCCGATTCGATCTGGGTATCGTCACGATACCATGTGGTCCGATCTCTGCGTGTCGTACAGCCTTGCGCAGCTGGTCCGTTTTGGTTTCGGTTTGGTTTAGTGCCGACATAGTACGCACTTTCTGTTTCGATCCTATTTCCCGATTCGATGTTGATTGATTTTGGCACTTCCCTCATCCCTCCCAACTTCCTCTCTCTCCCATCCCTTCCCTCTTCCTCGGCATGAAGTGGAGGGGTCCTGAGGGAAATGGGTCCTGAGGTTTTTCTCCCTCTTCGGCCTCTAGTCTGCGGCCTCTCAAGAAGACTGCTCAGGACAAACAGCAGGTCCCCAAGAACTCCGTGGGGCCCAGGACCCGTTCTCCTCGAGGCCAGCGGAAAAGGAAAACATGCTATAAGCATGAACCGCTGGAGTTCCGCGCGGATTTCCTGGATTGGCGCCGGGCCAGGCGCGCTCTGCGCACTATGGAGGGGCCTCTCGGGCCCATCCAGGAGCTCCAGGCGGACCTCCGACAGTTGACATTGTAGGGGCATCTGGCCCGTGCCGCCGATGCAGGACGCTCTGGGACGCTCCGCGCGAGCTCGTCCTTTTCATTAGTCTGCAAGACCTACCTCGAGGAGGCACGATGGAGGAGGAGGAGGAGGATGGAAGAGAGGAGGAGGATGACGAGGAGGGGATAAAAGTGAGGAGGGGGAGGAGAGGGAGGTGGAGGACGGTGCTGGCAGCCGCCGTAGGCATGTTGCCTCGTGTCCGTGTGTCGAGCTTGTTGGCGGACTAGTTCCCGGACGGGTTTGGGTTGGCTCGTTGGTGGGTGGTTGGGCGCGTCGTAGCGTGAATATTCAATCGCATGCTGCTCCTTCGCGTCACTTTTACCTTCTCGCATCGAAGACGCCTACGGCGAATCACCGCCGCCCCTTGCCTTCTGGAGTCACACACGTGGCCGCACGTAGTGGCCAGAGTTTTGCCAAGCCATCGGACCATGTGTCCCCCCGGTCGTTGTTGAAACTTTTCGGGGAACATTTGGTGAAGGATGGCTGGGAGGAAGAGGAGGAGGAGCAGGAGGAGGAGGAGGAAGCGTCTTGGGAGCCTCTGGGGGCACTCTTGGGGCCTCCTGGGAGGTTCCTGGGGGCCTCTTGGAGGCCTCTTGAGGGTCTGCTTGGGCTTATCGGAGCCTTTTGGGGTTTCTTGGGCGCCTCTTTGGCCGTCTTAAGGCGTTCGTGGCCCGTCGGACGCCGTGGGAGGCCGTCTTGGGGGCCTCTCTGAATCGACTTGGGGTCCTTTTGGGGTGCTTCATGGCCGTCTTGGAGGCCATCTTGGACGTCTTGGAGGCCTCTTGGGCCGTCTTGGGACCCTTTTGGGTCTCTATCTAAGGGGCTTTCTGGGCCGTTCTGGGCTAATCTTGGGGAGGCCGCAAGGGCCATCTGGAGGCGATCTCGGGAGCCTCTTAGGCCGTCTTGGTCCGTGTGAAGGCCGAAAAGAAGCACATGCCAACGCACTTCAAAAACCTAAGGCCAATCAATGATTTTGGCCTCTTTGGGCCTTGAGGACCTCTTGGAGGCCTCTTGGGCCGTCTTGGAGGCCTCTTGGGGGCCTCTTGGGCCATCTTCCGTCATCTTGAGGCCATCTTGGGCCGTTCTGGAGGTTTCTTGTGCAAACCTGGAGGCATATTGGACTCTCTTGGGCCGTCTTGGAGGCCATTTTGGACCATCTTGGGCGAACTTGAAGGACATGTTGGCCGTCTTGGACGTCATATTGGGGCATCTTGGAGCCACCCAGAGCGGGAAAAACGTTTGCAACTACCTCTGAAAGAGGCTTCCAGGTGGGTCCGTAGCCATGTTGGCTCAAGGCTGATGAGACTCCCGACGATCGCAAGTCCCTCTGGGCGTTCTGAGCGCGAGGGGTCTGGCGCTTTGAGCAAAACTACAACTCGATCTCTCGGAGCTCCCGCCGGGCGGCGCGCGCGATGGCCTCGGGGCTGCAGTGGCATTGTGGGCAATGCGGCTGCCGCAACAACGAGGGGCGCGCTCGGTGCCGCCAGGCGGGCTGCGTGGGGCAGCGACCGGGCAAGCAGCCGTCGACGTGGGAGTCGTCTCCGCGCGGCCGCTGGGCTGACGGCCCACCTCCCGGCAAGCAAACGCCGTGGCATGTGCGGTTGGTCGAGCCGAGGCGTGCTGGGCGGCGCCGCGGTGGCGGCGGCGGCCAAGCGGACGGCTCGGGCGGCGGCGGCAGCGGGGGCGGCAAGGCCTGCTCGGACGAGAAGCTGGACGAGATGGTCGCCTACGACGAGCAGCAGTGGGAGCACGTCAAGCCGTGGTGCCCCAAGAGCGTACAGGACAAGGTGGAGCACCGCAGGCGGCTCCGCGCGGTCGGCGGCAAGCTCTCGCTGGACGGTTCGAAGCTGGCGGCCAAGGCAGACCAGGCGGCGAAGGCGGTGCTGGCGGCCCATGCCAAGTGCGACAAGGCCAAGGAGCAGGCGTCGCGCGCGTCTCAGGCGCTGGGCGCGGCGCAGGAGGAGCTCGAGAAGAAGAAGAAGGCGGAGCTGGAGCGGGCGCAGGAGGAGGTCAAGAAGGAGTACTGCGCTCCCAGGGCCTCGGTCCGTGCCGTCATGGAGAAGGTCAAGCTGGTGCAGACGAACTCGACGGGCAAGAGCTCGGACGAGATGTTGGCGGAGGCCTGGAAGCTCGTGCACGAGGTCCTGGAGGTGGCGACGGCTGCCAGCGGCGGTGCGAGCCCGAGACGGCGCCCCCTGCCGAAGGCGCGCCCCAGGCCCCTCCGCCTCCCGAGCAGCCCGGCGCCGGCGGCGGCGGAGCGGGCGGCCCCGAGCCCGCCTCTGGCGGCGCGGCGGCAGCGGACATGGATCAGAGCGCGTTCCTGGGTGAGTTCTCCAAGGGTGACCCTTTTGGCTTGCTGTCTGTCGTGGCTGACGACGGCGAGCGCAAGCGCGCCATGGAGAGCCTCGCCACGCTGGCCGAGATCGCTAAACGGCGGCGGACAGGAACACAAGACGGGGACGATGCTGCCCCACGGAGGTAGGCACTGGCGCTGCCTCTCCGTGAACGCCACGGCGTACTCGTCGTTCGAGACCCATCTCGAGCGGCGGGACCTCCGCCTGGCGGACCTGGCGCGCGTGCAGGAGACACACCTTGGAGAGGAGCGCGGGCGAGAGATGGAAGGACAGCTGCAGCGGCTGGGCTGGCATGCCCGCGCCACCCCTGGGAGCGGGGTTCGGCCAGGCCACCCTGGCTCTGGCGGCCTGCCGATGATGGCACCGAAGCGCCTCGCCGTGGGCAGCTTTGAGGGCGACGCCCCCTCCGCTGTGGTGCCAGCGCGCGCGGCGGTGCTCCGCGTGAACGCGGTCTGCCCGGGAGGCATAGCGTGGGGCAATGTGTACCTGCTTTCTGGCGTCGGTCTCTGCCAGGAGAACCTGGGCGCCCTGGGCCGCCTGGCCGAGCGGCTGGTCACCCTCGGCAAGCCCTTTGTGGCGGCGGGCGACTGGAACCTGGAGCCGAGCGAGCTCGCCGACAGCCCGTTCCTGCGGCGCGTGCGCGGCGCCGTCGTCGCCCCTGCGCGGGGGACCTGCGAGCCCGCGCTGCGGGTGCTGGACTACTTCGTCGTGTCGCAGCATCTCGTGAAGGCGAGGGGGGAGGTGCTGCGGGGCTGGGCGGTGACGCCGCACTGGCCCGCGCAGCTCACCATTCGCAGCGGCGACATCGACACGTGGGCGCGTGTGCCGAGCGGCCGGCGCGAGCCAAGGTGGCGGCCTCGGGTTCCGACGAGGCCTGGCAGCACTTCATCCGCTGCGCGGAGCCGCAGCTGGTGGGCGCGCGCGGGCTGACGGGGGACACCAGCGGCTACCTTGGCCGAGCGGACGGGGTCTCCTTCAGGTGGAAGAGGGATTGCACGCCCTCCCCCCCGCGGTTCCCGCGGGCTTCGACCGAGGCCACCTGGTGCAAGCAGGTAGGACTGGCGCCGCGGCGCGCGGCAGGCGGCCTTCCTGCCCATGAGGGCATGGGAGGAGAGGCTGGAGCCGCGGGAGGCGGCCCGGGCGGCCTGCCAGCCGCGGAGCTGGGCGGCGCCAGGGAGGCGCTTGGGGGCAGCCCCGTGGACGGAGACGCGGAGACGGAGGCTTCGGGCATCAGCTGGCTCCGTAGGCTCCCCGACTACTCTGGCCTCGGCACGTTTCGGCCGCAGGGAGCTGACGGCCCTGGGGGGGCCGACTGCGGCCCTGGCGCCGCACCCGCAGCGCCCCAGAGCGCTGCCCCAGTGGCGGCTGCGCCTCCAGACCAGCACCCTGGGCCCCCCTCCCATGTGGCAGCGCCCGGTTGCCGCCCGCCCGGCCTCGGCGGTAACCGTGGGACCCGGTGGGCCCGAAGTGGCGGCGGAGCTGGGTTGCCGCCCGGCCCTGGCGGCAACCGGGCGCCCCGGCGAGCCCGGGGGTGGCGGCGGCAATAGGTTGCCGCCCAGCTCCGGCGGCAACCGGGGGCGCCGTCGGGCCGGGGGGGGCCCAAGGGCGACCCCGAATGCTACAGACAGCCGCGGCCTACAGCGCGCAGCAGGTGGGTGGCTCCGTCGTGTGGAAGCCTTGACCCAGCTCGGCAAGCTCGCCCGAGCAGCACCCCTGAGCACGCCGCGGGGGGCGGCCTTGCAGCCTGTGGCGGCCCTCGCCCACGAGCTGCCGCTGCAGACGGTCCAGGCGGCGGGCTCGGTGATCAACGAGCTGGCGGAGCGGCTTTTGAAGCGCGACCAGGCAGCGGGGGAGCAGGCCGCGGGGCGCTGGCTGGACGCCCAGGGCCTTGGAGGCGCGGGTGGGCTCCACCGCTGGTCGCAGGGACCCGCGGGCTGGCAGCAGAGCCCGCTGGGGGCCGACGGCGCGCCGATGGGGCGCATGGAGGCCGTCGAGGCCCTCTTGGTCGAGTGGCAAGGGCACTTGTGCGTCGGGCAGCCGCGCGAGGAGGTCCAGTGGCCCGTGGACCTCGGCCCGAGACCTGCGCGGCAGTCCGTCGAGGAGCTGCGGAAGGTGCTCCAGAGCTTCAAAGAGCACGCGGGCGTGTCGTACGACAACCAACCTGAACCCGCGGCACCTGCTCGCCCTGGACGACGAGGGGCTGGCTGGAGTGCCTGGCGGACCTCATCGTCCGCCTGGAGGAGACCACCTCCTGGCCCGCCTTCATCACCAGGATGGTGTTCTTGCCCAAGAAGGAGGGCGGCCTGCGGCCCATGGCCCTCGCGGCGGCTCCGGCACGCATCCACGCGCGGCTGAGGAGGCCGCTCGCCAAGGCGTGGGAAGAGGCCAACGATCGGCCGCACTGGTGGGCGACGTCGGGGCGCAGCTGCGCACGCGCCGTCTGGCAGCAGGCGGCTTGGGCGGAATGGGCGGCAGGACGGCGCGAGGTTTTCCCGCTTGAGGAGTGTGGGGCCGCCTCGGTGTTGCTGGACCTCTGGAAGGCCTACGAGCAGGTGCTGCACCCGCAGCTCCTGGCGGCCGCCCAGCGCTACGACTACCCCCTGTGGCTGCTGAAGCTCTCGGTCGAGCTGCACAGGCTCCGGCGCGCCCTCGCCCTCGCGGGGGCGACCTCGGCGGCGCTGGAGGTCGAGCAGACCATCCTCGCGGGGTGCGGCTTCGCGACCACGCTGCTGAAGCTTCGGCTGATCGCGCCCCTGGACGCCACGCGCGGCGCCGAGCAGAGCCTGGAGATGGCGGTCGTCGTCGACGACCCGGCGCTCTCGCGGCGAGGAGGCTCTCGCGCGGTCCCCGCGGCGCTCAGCATAGGGGCGCGCGTCCTGCAGCGGGAGCTGGCGCGCGTGGGGCTGCGCATAGCGGTCAAGAAGTCCCAGGTGCTCGCGTCCTCCCCGGCGCTCCGCACGACCCTGGAGCGCCAGCTGGCCTGCGTGGGCGCCAAGGCCAGACGCCACGCGCGGAACCTCGGCATCGACTTCAGCTGCGGGGTCGGGCGCCCCCGACGCTTCCAACGGGCGCGTCTCCAGCAGGCACGCGCGCGGGCGCCCAGGCTGCGGCGCGCGCTGGGGACCAACCGGCGGCGCAGGGCCCAGGGGCGCGGCGAAGGTCGCCAAGCGCGGCCTCGAGGCGAGCTGCACCTTCGGCGTGGGTGACGGGCGTCGCCGACCAGAGCCTCGAGGCCCTCCGCACGACGGCCTTCCAGGCCACGGAGCCCCGCACCGGCGGCGAGAGCAAGACGATGGCGCTCATGCTCACAGGGGGCAGCGACTTCGACCCGATGTTCAGGTGCAGCAGCGAGGTGGTCTTCACGCTGCACCGCGCCTGCTGGGAGGGCTGGCTGCCCATGCACGTGCTGCAGGACTGCTTCGCCGCCGAGGCCGAGCGGGTGCGCACCTGGAGCCAGGCTCGCGGCCCCCTCGGCGCGGCCATTCTCGCCCTTCGGAGGCTGGGCTGGAGCGTGGACAGCCTTGGCCAGTGGGCGACGCCCGACGGCCTCAGGTACGCGCCGCTCGACTACGACCCCAGGACGACGAAGCGCGTGGTCTGCGAGTCTGTCGCGCGCTGGCAGTCCTCCCACGTGCTGGAGGGTCAAGGGCTCGACCCAGGCGTGCTGCCCATCCGCCAACTTCGGCGGTGGACGGAGCACGGGCGCGGCTCGGCGGCGGAGGCCAGGAAATGGCCGCCCCTCACTCGGGAGGGGCGCGGCTATGTGCGATCAGTGCCGGTGGACGGGCAGCGGCCCCAGGAGCGGCGGCGCGACGCGGGCCTCGCGGATCACCCGTTCTGCGCGCGGTGCAGCCGCCCAGACATCTGCGCCCTGGTGAGCAGGCTCCTGATGGCCATGCCGCAGGGCACCTGGAGGCCCAGCTGTGGCGACGTCCTGCACAACGTGCGCTGTGTCATCGGCGATGGCAGCTTCTTCGACAGCGGGGAGGTTTTCACGGACGGTTCGGCCTTCGACGCGAAGTCGCATGGCACGGCCGTCGCCGGCGGCGCGGTGGTGGAGCTGAGCCCTGGTGCGCCGTGGGCCGCTGACGGGCCCCGCTCGGCGCGCAGGGCGATAGCGGCGGGGCTCCAGGGCCCCGTCCAGGGCATCGACGGCGGGGAGCTGCTGGCCATCCTCCTGGCGGTGCTACGCGCCGTGCCCCCGCTCGTGATCTGGACGGACTCCAGCTTCGTCGCCAAGGGGCTCTACGAGCGGGGCGAGGCGGCGACGCGCGCGGCGGCGAGCGCTTGGGCGCACCTCTGGCGGCGCGTCTGGATCGCCGTGCACGACTTCGGCGGCCTTGGCCCGCTGGGCGCCACGGTGCGGAAGCTGCCTGCGCACGCCCCAGCGCGCGCCGTCGAGGGCGGCAAGCTCTCCTGGCGCTGCAGGAGGGGCAACTGGGAGGTCGATCGCGTCGCGAAGGCCTTCGTGGCGGAGCTGCGCGCGCCCCAGGAAGAGCTGGAACGCTGGGCCAGGCACCGCCAGCTGCTTGATGGTGCGATCTTCTGGGTGGCGGGCGCGGGCGGCGCGGCAGCCCGCAGCAGGCTCGACATCGAGCCTGGTGGCAAGCGCGCGGCCATTCCGAGGAATACGGCGTTGGCGATCACGAAGCACCACGCCGCGCAGTTGGCAGATGGCGCTTTCTTCTGCCTGCGGTGCTGCCGGTCGTGCAGCGCGGAGCAGGTGGGCGGCTTCTGGCGCCCCCCGTGCACGGCGAGGCCAGGAGAGCGGGCCCGCGCGCAGCTGGAGGCCTTCTCGGGCCGAGCCTCCTCTGGCGCTGCTGAGTGGGCACTCGGCGTAGTCGCGGCCGTCGACGAGAGCGATCCCGCTTTCCTCGCGATCTCCGCCGGCGAGGTCGCCACGGAGGACGAGCTGGGGCACGCCATTTTGGCGTCCCACGGCTACTGCATGTGCATTAGGTGCGGTAGCTACTCACGCGACCGCAAAGGGCGCTGCCGTGCCCTCGGAAAGCCTTGCCCGCGGAGGTTCGGTGGCAGAGACGAGTCAGGATGACTCGACGCCGCTGGACGCAGCCGCCTGCAGAGGGTCACCCGCATCGTCGCAGGCCGCCACCCGACCGCGGGAGGAGAGGCGCTGACGGAGGTGGAGCACAAGGCTCCCCTCACCAGGGGGTGAGGACAGACTTGCCGCCCTCTCGGGGCCCCGCAGCTGCCGCGCCGGCCTCCTAGCCGAAAAACAGCCTTTCCAGGTGACTTGCGGCATGCTCCGGAGCCCCAGAGAGAAGAGCACCCAGATCAAAGACGGTAGGGTCTAGACCGCCAGGCACCCTTGTGATGAATCAGCAGGGGGCGGCGGATCGAAGACGCCTACGGCGAATTACCGCCGCCCCCTGCCTTCTGGAATCACCCATGTGGCCGCCTGCGTGGCCGAAAGTTGGGCTTGAGCTTGGCCTAGCTATCGGACCACGCAATCCCCGAGTGGGTTTCGAAAGCCTTCGGGGAACATGAAGTCGGGCGAGCTATCGGACCACGTTGTTTCCGAGCTTTCGGGCCTCCTGGAGGACGTCTTGAAGGGTCTTGGGCCGTCTTGGATGCCCTTCGCGGGCCTTTTGGGCAGTCTAAGGCCATGTTCAAGCCATCTGGGGCCGTCTTGGGTGCATCTTCGGGCCATCTTAGCCGTCTTGACGGCCATCTTGGGCGTCTTGGAGGCATCTTGGAGGCCATCCTGGCCGTCTTGGACGCCATCTTGGGAGTCTTGGGGGGCATCTTGGGCCGTCTTGGCGTCTTGTTGGGGCCGTCTGGGGGGCCTCTTGTGCCGTCATGGGGCCATCTTGGATGCCTCTTGGGGGCTCTTGGGACGATGTTCGGGGCCTCTTGGGCCGTTTTGGGCAGTCGGAGAGCTGAATAGAAGAAATCGCCAAAATCCTTCAGCAACCTAAGGACAATCAATGATTTTGTCCCTGTCGGTCCTTCCTGGAGGACGTCTTGGAGGGTCTTGGGCCGTCTTGGAGGCCTCTGGCGGGCCTTTTGGGCAGTCGTAGGCCATCTTGAGGCCATCTTGGGCCGTCTTGGATGCATCTTGGGGCCATCTTAGCCGTCTTGACGGCCATCTTGGGCATCTTAAAGGCATCTTGGAGGCCATCTTGGCAGTCTTGGAAGCCGTCTGGGGCTTTTTGGGGGCCTGTTGGGCCGTCTTGGGGCCTTCTTGGGGCCGTCTTGGGGACCTATTGTGCCGTCCTGGGGCCATCTTGGAGGCTTCTTGGACATTCTTGGGGCGATCTTCATGGCCTCTTGGGCAGTCTTGGGCCGTCGGAAGGCCGAAAAGGAGCAGAAGCCCAAACCCTTCAAACACCGCAGGAAAATACATGATTTTGACCCTGGAGGTCCTCTTCGAGGCTTCGCGGGCCGTCTTGGAGGTCTCTGGGCCGTCTTGGGCCGTCTTAGGTGTATATTGTGCGAAGTTGGAGGCATCCTTGGCTCTCTTGGGCCGTCTTCGAGGCCATCTTGGACCATCTTGGGCGAAGGTGGAGGCCATCTTGGCCCATCTTGGCCATCTTGGACGGAGCCGAAAAACCCTTTGCAACCACCTGTTATGCATCTCTGCGCGCCCTTCCGGGTGGCCGGCGGGATCGGCCGAAGCCCCAGGGGGAGCTCTTTTGGAAAAAGAGCCAAAACCAACAGCGAAAGGATTCAGCACGCCGGGCACCCTTGTGGTAAGCTGACAGGGGGCGGCGGATCGAAAACGCCTACGGCGAATCACCGCCGCCCACTGCCCCTTTGGAAGCGCCTCTATGGCCGACAGCTGGGCCAGAGCTTGGCCAAGCTATCGGGCCAGTTCCCCGAGTCGGTTTGGAAAGACTTCGGGGAACGCATGGGGGAGCAAGAAGAGGAGGAGGGGGAGGATGAGGAAAACAGAGGAGGCGGAGGAGCAGGAGGAGGAGGAGCAGGAGGAGGAGGAGGAGGAAGAGGAGGAGGATGAAGAGGAGGAGGAGGAGGAGGAGGAGGCCTCTTGGGCGCCTCTTGGGGCACTCTTGGGGCCTCCTGGGAGATTCCTGGGGACCTCTTGGAGGGTCTTGGGGGGCCTTTGGGCGCTTCTTGGGGGCCTGGCTTGTCTGCTGCCGTCGGAAGCCGTCTTGGGGGCCTGTCTGGGTCGTCGTGGGGCCCTCTTGGGGCATATCAGGGGTTCTGACAGGCCATCTTGGGCGTCTTGGAGGCCTCTTGGGCCGTTTTGGGGCCGTCTTGGGGGCCTTTTGGGCCGTCATGGGGCCATCTTGGAGGCCTCTTGGGGTGAAATTCGTTCATATCACCGTTATATCGTCATATACCGCTAACGTATCGGCTCAGGTATTGGCATACCTACCGCGCTGCTCTCTGCACAACGCCCAGGAAAAGGAGTAGCTAAGCTCTTGATCCTTCGCCTTTGCCTACGGACTCAGGTCTATGATCGACCCTTCGGTCGCATCCCTATACACACAGGTTACCAGCGTATTATTTTACGCCTTTCGCCGTTGCGACTCGCGTCATCGCTGACCCCGCCGCATGGCAGTACCCCCCTCGGGGAGCAGTGCCTCTATGCGCGCGGCGTCTTCGACATCGCGTGGTCGCGACGACAATAAGGAGAGGGCGAGAGAACCCTGTGATACTCATTTCCCCTTCTCAGGAGAAGGAAGCACCGCCTCGCTCGCGGGTGCCCTTGGCGACCTTCTACCAGACTCTCCGCTGCAGCCGCTTCCCGCGCGCGCGGAACCTGATGCGTTCGTTGGGACGCGTCCTGGCGCCGCCTTTGATCGTTCTTTTGTGCCGGTGGGAACGCCTGCAGTTGGCCTCGGGGTCACGGCTGGATTCGCCTCACGCCCCTCCTCTTTTCCTACCTTCGTTCATGAACGTTGTGTCAGCGGGAACACCCGCTGCGGCGGCGCCACAGACAACGCTTTCGCGCGCCCCCGCCGCTCTGCTAAGGTCACATCACCCACCAACGCGTCTGCATCCGAGCATGCGCGCGTCAATGGAGATCTCGCGGGACGGACATGTCAGCGAAAAGGCACCAGAATGGTATCACACCCGTTCTCACAGTAGGGACAATAGCAGCAGCCCCTTTCAGAGGCGCTCCCGGCGAAGCTCCCAGCGGCGCGATATTGCACCGCATGAATCGCCGTCATCCAGTGAGTTGGCCGAGCTTCGAGACCAGGTTGAAATTTACACGACCCAACAGTTGTCGGATTTTGCTGCGCAGACGGCCACACCAAGGCAGGAGCTACACCACGCCCTTGTCTTGGTCGACGCTTGGGTCGCGGAAGATCGATCGATCCTCACCTTGGTCCAGTATCAAGTCGACCGCGCGGAGTCACACCGCGGTTCCGATCTCATTGCAACCCAGACGCTTCACGGCTACCTCGTTCGAGCGGAGGCGCAACTCGTGAGCGCCAGGGACACCGGCACTGCCGCCGTCAGGACATTTACACGACGAGCTCCTGACAGCGCGGCAGGTTCCAGCTGCTGAGGTACGTGGGGCAGCGGACCAACAATTCGGCGATGACCTCATTGCGCTCCGTGATCACGTTGATGTGACCACTGCCAACCTCCACTCCCAGCATACCACAACCACGTCCGAGTTGCACGGCAATCTTTGCACTGCCGATGTGGTTGTTGCTCAACGTATTGATGCATCAGAGGGACGTGTGCCAGCGCTTGAGAACCGAGTTTCCACGGCCGAGCAGCAGTTACGTGAATGCAGGCTGCACTGGCTGAGTTGCATGCTGTACGGTCCCAGACTGGCCAGCTGGGCACCCCGACTTCGGTTTATGATTCCGCCCTCCTCGCTGCCGAAATGGCCGAGGTAAGGAAAGCGGCGGACCACATGCAGTTACGACCCATTCAGATATCCCAAGGAAGAGACGTTGAAAAGGCACGGGTGGAGGAAGTCCTCACCCGATTGGAACTAGAGCGCGAAACACACAACCGACGATTCCAGGACCTAGAGCATTGGGTGGACCGGTACTCCCGGCGAACTTATGACACCAATGGCGAGGTACGTGGTCTACGACAAAGTGTCGAGCAGTTGCAGAACGATCTCACGACCACCGAAGCCACTATGAAGGCTCACGCTAGCGACGCCCAGATCCGTTGCCCTTCGCAACCGCCACGCCCCACCACCGACAGTGCCCCGACCCTCGCCGATGGCAGCATCCGTTCAGGACAACCGCGACGTACGTCACCAGGAGCTGCTTCTGCAGCAGCTTCAACACAGACACGTCGCGTACGCCGCACTGGCGTGAGAGGACACAGGAAGTAAAATCCCCGTGGCCTCCGCGAGGCCCAACCCAAGCCTGACTCCGCGGCAACGGGCGGGGTTGGGGGCGAACACGGGGTCCAACTGAAGGGTTCCATTGCTTTGTCCCGTTACCAGAGTAGGAGTAGGTGCTACAGTGGGGACGAGCATTAAGACACCATCTGCTACTTGTCAGGGCAACGCGACCAAACGATCAAGAGACGCCTGGGGGATCGCAGCTCTCCAGTGGAAACTGGGGGATTAGTCCGGTTTCTTCGTCGTCGCCGTTCAGGCCGCCAGACCGCAGCCAGCGGCCAGGACGAGTAACAATCATCTGTTGGATCGACCCTGCCCAAGTTGCTGTGTAACCGTTCCCTGCGGACGTCAAGAATCAGCTTCATTCAAGCTGCCTCGGCTCCCCCCCCTGTCGAAATTCGCGGGCGGACGTTCAGGGTAATGAAGGTTCTTGCGAGGGTCTCTTGGCGCCGCGTCCGTACTGTTGAAGGGGGAGAGTTTTGGGAAGGACGAGGAGGCTTCGCCGCAGTACCCCGCCAGAGCGCCTCTCTTCCAGCATGCTCGGCGCTCGGGGGTTGTTCACCCATCCTTCTTGGGCGCTTATTCCACGCACCACGCAGGCACCGAGACACGACGCGGAACGAGTAGGCCGAAAGAGTGCTGCGTAGGTGGAAGTGGCGACTGGGACGGGGCACCGGATCATATCATACATGAGCGCGCTCATGTCCGCTCCGGTCGGAGACCTGCGCTCAGCGTGGAGGAGGGGGAGGAGAACTTTCGTTCCAGGCTCCAGGCACGAAGGGAGGATGAGGAGGAGGAGGAGTCCCGAGGGAACGTGTCTTGGCGCGTCGCTCTGCCCACCACGATTCGGCGCGACACGCTCAGCACGCCCCAGCCCCCGAGACTCGCCCCGTGCCTTTCCTGGCACCCCCCCGCCCTGCGAGGCAGGGCGGCATGCGATGCGTTTGCAGGGCACAGCGGGGCGCTGGGGCCGTCGCCCAGACACGCTAAGCAACAACTCCCGACCCTTAGGCTGCAACTCAATAGCAACTCGTGGGGGGGGGTTGTGTGTGGCTTCAGGATCCTACAACTAGAGCACTTCACGTGCGCTAGCGTCTGGTAGTCCACGAGACGATTCGCACCTGGCCTAATCCCGCTTAGTCCGGCCTAGTTCCAGGCTTGATCTGGCCCAATCCGGTTCCACGGTCCTTGGATCCGGCGCAATAGCCTTTAATCGTTCTGCCGAAGACTTGCAATGATACGTTTCTTAAGGACTGTATGTTAGTGTTGTGCCTCGCTGTTGTTCATGGGAGAAAAAAACGCGGTCTCGCGGACCAGGCCCCTGGGCCGCGACTCCGCGGCCACACGGCGGGTTTTCACGGATGGCCCGCGTGGACGTACCTGTACGACCGCGTATCCGCGGGATCGCGCCCCAGAATCCGGACCGAGAGGGCGCGGATATGGATTGATTATCGGCCGCATCGTGTTCTTGTTCCTCGTCTCTGTCCCTTCAGCGGTGTCGCACCACAGGATGGCCGCAGAGCTGCAGCTCGGCCTCGCCTCCTTCGTCTTCCTCGATGACAACCCAGCGGAGGTGGAGGCCGTGCGCGCCATGCTCCCTCAGGCCACCGCCGCGATCTTTGTCGGAGGATGCGGGGCGAGACGGATGGCGTACAGCCAGGACGCTGAGATTCGGCGGCGCGTCAGGAGGGGAAGACCCCCGGCGCATTAAGATCAAGTCAGGACGGAGGTTTTTCACAGTTTTCCACGTCTGGGGCCCTCGCCGCGCCCCGGGACCGTCAAGGCACGACTCAGGATGAAAGGCCGGGGAGTGGGTCGAGACCTCTGGGCTACCGGGGTTGACGACGTGAAGAGAACCCGATGTCTTGTGTCTGGGACGGCAGAGGAGGCTGGCCTTACCAGAAGGCTCAGAAGGCGTCCGGCCTGTAAGCTTCAAACGGCTTCTCAGCGCCTTTCAGAAGGATTGCACCCCTGAAGGAAAGATCGACGAATGTTTGATGCCCTGGAGTTGACCCAATACGAAAAGATCGGCAGAATGTTTGATACTATGATGGAGGTGCAGAGAGACATGGCATCAGTGAAATTCCTCGCAAACTCAGCGAACGGAACAGCAGAAGCGGCAATGGAAACAGCGACCAGCTTGAAGGAAGACATCAACAACATGAAACTCAAAGATGACAAGCTGAAGAGTGATATCAATACGCTGCGGAACACGATGCAGCAGAGCACCATAAAGGTTGGTGTACCTCCTCAGGTACGGGTCCCAGACCTCCACGACAGCGTTCGGGAGTTGCAAATGATTGCAACAGGCTTGCAGGAAACCCAGGACGAGGAGGACATTCTCAAACAGGTAAATCAACTTCTCATTGATCTGGGAGCTCGAAACAAATACGCAGAAATCCTCGGTTCACGGACCCTTCTTTGGTATGGTTCATTTTAAATCAATAGCATAAAACATGTGGTTCTTGAATGGTGTTTCCCAATCAACCGATACATCTGTTTATGGTACAGACAGCGTTTCAAAAGCAACGATACAAGGGCAAGGCGCAGTATGGACAAATATATGGGTAAAGCAAAGATCTTCTTGCTCATTGACGGCAAGGGCTACAAGTAGGAACACTTCTATCATAAAGTGGAAGGGGAGGGCAGTGGAGTTGAAGGGAAGGGAATCGTTACATTGGAGGAGGTGGAGGGGCAGTGATTGCAGTACGAAGGAGAAGGGAGAACCGTCCAAGAGGCAGTGCAGTCTTCTATGGCGACGTGGAAAAGCAAGCGGGCGGAAACCACAGACGAGGATTTGTGACCATACCGGCAGACAAGGCTAAACTATGGAAGCATTTGTAGAAGTGCAACCCCTGCACTTTCAGTTTTGGAAGGGGAAGGACGAGGAGGCGGAAGGACGCAAGAACCAGTGAGTATCTGGCGACGTGTTTTTTTGCATGTTTGTGCATTTAACGATCTTCAGCAAGGTGAGGGACCGAAGAGAATACATATTTTCTCAAATAATGCCAAGTCGTTTAAATCAGACGGAGGAGTGGCGGTCTCTTGAGGTAGCTCCAGGGGTTCTCATGGGATGTAGTTTTGTTTTGCGAAACATGGAGGGACGAACCACGGAGTATTGGGAATTGGACGGTGGAAATATTTTCTTTGGTTGTGGGTGGGAGGAGAATTCCAGACTAGTGGGCCCCTGCTACACCGTAAGTGGGCGGGCTAGAGTGGCAGCGTACAATGTGTGAGCGAGCGGGTTCTGACTGCGAGCGTTGAGCTGCATGCTGTCTTGGTCTGGTTGATCGTTGTATCTTTTTTTCGCAGCAAGTACTCGGATACAAAAGTATAGGAGGTAAATACGACACTCTCGGAGTTAAGCGCGCAGGTCATACCACAAATGCCCACGTGATCATCGGGGGCGGCTTCAACGCAGAGGTGGGCGTACCAGAAGATGACGAAGCACATGCAATATGCCCACATGCTTTGAAAAGTGCAATTGCAGAGGTCGGCTAGTCAAACATTGGGCCAGGATGGAGGGCATGATTTTGACGAAGACTTTTTCGAGAAGGCCGAGGCTAACCGTGCAACATTTGTGGGGACAGACAAGATACCGAAACAATTGGACTGTATACTCGCTGGTCGTTGCCCGCAGGCTTGTTTGGCTGATGCGCAATCGACCAAATCCTTGAACTTTGGTTCAGACCGTCGTGCTGTTCGCGATACTTTCTGGTTTCGTCCTGCCCCTGGGACAGATGACGCCGCCGGCAAGCCAGGCAATGGCAACTGGAAGCACACCAACGTTGAATATCGGCCAGGTTGGTTCTTGGAGCAAATTGTTTCGAAGATGGGGGACCCGAAGCTATGCAACAGTAACTATTGTGGACGACAGGTGCAATGAGTTGGAGGCTGCGGTGCGCGAAGCAGCCAAGGAAGCAGCACCGATGTCGACGAAATCGAGCAGGAGGGACAAACAACATTACAACCTTGATAAGTTGATTTCTGATTGGGGGAATGTAGCCCCTCAGCGGTCGTCCGAAAGACTGGCCATCAGCAAACACATCAAGAGGGATGTTGCGCGGATGCGGAGACAGCAACAGAGACACCGAGTTAGTAATTTGCGGGTGGAAGTTAAATGGATGAGACGCATACCGCGGGCGAGATCGAGTCGGAAACGGGTTTTTGCTTGCAGAAGTTGTAGACGCGTCCCGGAAAGTCCACCAGGAGAGACAAGCAAATGCGGACGTTCTTGCAGTTATTCACGAAGACCCGTATTGGGCAACGGGGCCGCAAATTCTGCAGGTCGCAAAGGGCGAGTGCATGCCGCCATTCACGCGCGGTGAGATTCGCCAAGTCCAGACATTCAAGGGCGAAATCAAGATATTCAAAAGAAGGAAGGCCATGGTTAGGGCAGGCACACAAGAGCGAAGTGCTGAAGAATGGTGGAGACGCCCTTGCAGAGATGATCGTCATCTTGTTCAATGACATTGTTGGTTTTTTTTGCACAGGCGCCAAACAGTTGGGGGGCAATAGTCCATGATTTTTTCAGAGGACGGCGACCCTCGCTTGCCTGGTACGCATCGTTCCATTACGGTCGTGCCGTTACTGCACATCGTTTTCATCAGATTACTTCTGCGACGCTGGGCGCCAATCTTGGACGCGGCACGCTGCGTTGATCAACAGGGTTTCGTGCGGATTGCAGCGCTGAGGAGCAAAGTCTTCCGCGCGCTGTTTCAGGTGACTGGTGATGAGTCGGGGAGGCCGTTGAGGATTGCGCACGAGAGTTCAAAAAGCGTTTGGCAGCATGTCGCTCGACAACATGTGGGCAGCGCTATGGAGACAGGGAGTGTTAAGGCCGTACGTTGCACTGTAGCAAAAGATATAGCATCAAACCAGACTGGTGCATCTCGATAAGTCAAGCCGCGAGCTTTGCATTAGAAGCGGTTCAAAACAGGGGAACCGTTTGAGTCTTGTGTTTTTAACGATGTGCCGGAAAGTATTCTTCGGCCGTTGATTGCGTCGTGGGCGAAAAAGTTCATGCGGCTTCTCGCTGGGTGGTGAGTGGTTGACAAAGTTGCGTTCTGCAGACGATGCGCTGTTGTTGGGCAGTATCTCGCCGGGTCTGAAGCGCATGCTTGCGGACGTGGCTTTGGCATGCGCGAGTTTCGGTTTGTCTCTGCGTTCCAGGAAAACCAAGATTCTGATGAACTTGCGGGCTAGCTAGGAGCGGTGAGGCGGGTGACAGTCGCGCCATGGCCAATGGGACGCACATTGACTTGTTGAAGCGCGACTCGGCCGCTAAGTGGTTGGGTAGGCGAATATGTTTTCAGGATTCGCTGAGCGGAGAGCTGGACAACAGGATGCACCCCGCATGGAGGATTTTTCAGTTTTCGAGGACGAAGTTACACATTCGAATTGCCCACTTCGTTCGAGGCTGTGGCTGTTCGACCCCTTCGTCATCCCGCGCGCACTACACGGCGCAGATTGCTGGACGCTGACGGCCGACTTGGACTGGAGGTCAATCAAAAACGAGCGCCACATGCCACTCTTAGTTGTGGGTTTTGAGGAGGAGGAACATGCGCGACTTTGATCATTCGTTGTCGCGCGGTGATTATGGAGGGGGCACAGAGGAATATTTTGATACATGGGCTGGGTGGATATCACGCACAGTCTGGGATATCGAACGACGCCTGGAGGATGTTGGATTACACAGTGCAGGGCTCGAGCGTGGAAGTTGGCAGGGAGACCGCTGTCGAGCGATGCACACAAGTGGCTTTACAAGGTGCCGTGGTGGAGCCCAGGCCGGGCCCAGAGCAAGAGAGGCCGCAGCCGGCGCCTTGCAACGAAGTGGGCCGACGGCTTCGTTGACGCGCGCGTCCAAAGTTGGACAAGCGCGGCCCTGGGCCCGAAGGGTGGGCTGAATTTGAAAGCCGGTTCACCTCGCACTGAACATTGAGTTCCCCTTCGCCAGTTTGTCCTCGCTGCCGTAGGCGGGCCCGCCTGCCTGCGCGCAGTGCGCCGCCATCCCTTTGATTTTGGCCAGTCCGATTGCGCGGGGCGCGGGTCGAGCCGGGCGCGCCCCTGATTTCCCCCCCTGGCGCGCCATCGAGAAATTACGGAGCAGTTTGGGTTCTGAAGGGGTTCGCTGTTTTTGGGGTTCTTCCATAGTTGTTCCTGCGGCGCTCTTCGCTCGTGCTTCCCAGGCGCTTCTCAGATACAAAAACGGGATTCGTTCCGTGCTTCGCCTTCCCTGTGTCGCGGCAGAAAATCACGACTGTGGTTTCTCCATGTTTGGGGGTCGGGAGCTCTGAGTGGGGCCCCAGGACTGTGACAAAGAGGCCGCGTATAAAGATCCAGCATGGGGTCACGAGTTCTGTGGCCCCACGCATATGGACATTGGCAGCGTCGGAGGTCTGAGGATGAAAAGGAGGAGGCAGATGAGCAGCAGGAGAAGAACATGTAACCAATATGCTCCGTAAAAAAGAAGAAGGTCACATCGTGCAGTGGTTCCGGGGATAACAAAGCCGTCTGTCGCTTTAAGGCGCACCCGTCTTGTCCTCAGACGGTTCAGGTCATAGCCAGTCTTGGTTTGATGTTCGCTTCCTTGTTGTCGCATCAGGGCGATGTGCGTGTCTACTTTGCCAATGCACCAAGCCTCACCTCCGTGATTGGGACACCGTCAACGCGGACCGCGCTCTTGGTGGATTTGCAGCATGGTGCTCGAAATTTGGATCGGGCACCCGCCGTATAGGAGAGCTTGGCGGAGGAATTTCTGCTTCCGCAGATGGTGGGGTGCGGGCGGGAGGAGGAGGAGGAGGAGGAGGAGGAGGAGGAGGAGGAGGAGGAGGAGCACGGAAGGGCCCGGGGCTCCAGTCATTTGCGACAGAGGCCCGCATCTCTGTGGCCAGTGAGCAGTGATCGAAGGAAGCTTTGTTCGATACTGTGATGGGCCCATTGCCTTCTTGTGGTAGGCCGGGGCCTCAGCAATCCTCGGATCTCGTTCCAGGCTCCAGAGAGGAAGGGAGGATGAGGAGGAAGAGGATGAGGCTCGCGATGGAGGAAATGGGTCCCGAGGGGGACGGATCTTTCGGTCGGAATCTTGGCTTAGCGTGTCGCTCCGCTCGCTCTGGCCCACCACGTCTCGGCGCGACACGCCATCTAAGTCCCAGTACCCGAAGCGTCAGCGCCCGGAGCCTTTCCTGGCCGTCTCGCCCCGCGAGGCAGGGCGGCATGCGAGCCGCTTGCAGGGCGAAGCGCGGCGCAGGGGCCCCGGCCGTGACACGCTGAGCAAAAGCTCCCGACCGCTCGGTTGCAAATCGAGGGTAAGTCCCGGGAGCCCTGTGTGTCCTCGAACTTTCACTCCCGGCGTGCCGCCCCGCAGCGCGGAGCGACACGCTATATATATATATATATATATATATATATATACACACAAGACTGCAGTGGCGCTTCGCGCCATGCACCTTGGTCCTTGAAGTTTGGTATGCAGGCGGAATAGCAGGAAGGTCAAGCCGACAATTTAGAGATACCTCCTTGTTGCCTCTTCCGGCATCGCCGCTATAATAATGTTATGCGTTATCCTTCCTCCATGCTTCTTTTTCTTTATTTTCGCCGTACCCTGCGCATTCTCTCAATCCTTCTCAGCTCTTTTTTGCGGAGGCTCCTCCTTGGAGAGCCTCTGGGGGCCTCACAAAAGTTGTTTCAGGCTTTCTTAAGGCCTCCTGGAGGCCTCCTGGGCGTATTCTGAGGGCCTCTGGGGACTTCCTCGGGCCACCCTGCCTCCAACCGCGGTCTCCCTGAACGACCGGGTCACGATTTGGAATGCTTCGGAGGTTGTCTTGGGGCCATCTTGGGCCGCCATGGGGCTCTCTGAGGGCCATCTTGGACCTGTGTTGTGCCGTTTTGGGGCTCTCTTGGATTGCCTGGAAGCCCTTTCGGATGGTTGTGGGGCGATGTTGGAGCCTCCCAGGCGGCTTCGGACGCCCAGAAGACCGCCGTCTTGGAGCATCGGGAAGCCGAAAAGAGGAGAACCCCAAAATTCAGCAAAAACCAGAAAATCAAAGACTTGTGCCTCTTGGGGCCTTCTTGGGAGTGCTCTTGGAGGCCTCTTTGGGGCCGTCCTGGAGGCGTTTTGGGCCATCTTGAGGTCTCGTCGGTCACTCTTGGAGCGCTCTTGTGCTGTCTTGGGGGTCTCTGGGACGTCTCCGATAACCCCCCTGATCGCCCTAGGTGTGCTGGGAAGGCTTGGCAAAACGCCCTGCGAGGCCCGGGGGGCCGCTTCGAGGCCCGTCCGGAGGGTCCCAAAGCCCCAGATCCCGGGAGTCCGTTTTTTTTGGGGGGGGGATGGGTTTCCCCCCCGCCCGGGCTTGTAAACATATAGGAAGAGGTGTGTGTGTATATATATATATATATATGCATGTATGTGTATATATATATATATATATATATATATCCGCTTGCGGGCACAGCGTGTCGGACGGGACTAGGAGGAGGATGACTCCGTTCTGGAGCGTTCCCAGACGTTCTCAGAGCGTTCCGGAACGCTCTTAGAGGGCCGCGGTGCCCGATACATCCTCCGGAGCCGACGGAGCTCAGAGATACTCGATTCATTGCCACCCGATTTTGTCCTCGTCCTGGCCTCGTCTCGCCACGTCGCCTGGGCCGCCGCCGCGACATGCCAAAGGAGAGTGTCCGACCGGAGCTCCCCGGGGGCTCGCTCGCTCTCGGCGGGGGGCGCCCCGCGCCTGGCCGCTGTCCCCGGGACTTGCAGCGGCCCGCGGGGGTCCGTAGGGGGGCCCTCCCCTCTTCGCCCTCCTTCTGCTCCGCCCTCTCCCCTCCTCCTGTTCCGCCTCCGTCTCCTCCTCCTCCTCACCCTCCTCCTCGTCCCTTTGTTTCTCCGCCTCCTTCTCCTCCTCCTCCGCCTCCTCCTCCGCCTGCTCCTCCTCCTCCTCCTTCTCCTCCTCTTCCTTCTCCTCCTCCCGTTCCCCCTTTCGCCCGGGGCGCGCGCATTCGCCTGGACGCCGACCGCGGGGACTTGCAGCGGCCCTTCGCTGGGGCGCGGCCCTTCGCCTGGGGCCCGCCCCATCGCCGGGACTTGCAGCGGCCCACGGGGGTCCATGTTTCCTGCAAAGGAAGCGCAGACATGGATCCAGGCGCGTGTGTTAGCCACGGGCCCCGTGTCCAAACAGAATCGGCGCGCTCCATCGCCAAACCAGGCGCCACTGGCGCCAAAGCGCCAGATGCACGAATCCCTGGTCCATGTTGGCGTGTACCCGTTCTTGTTGTTTTCCTTCCTCATCTTCCTTGTCCTCCTTCCCCTCCTCTTCCTTCTCCTCCTTCTCTTCTCCTCCTCCTTCACCTCCTCTTCCTCGTCCCCCTCCTCCTCCTCCTTCTCCTGTTCCTTCTCTCCTTTCCCCCCACCGTCGCCTGGGATGCGCCCCAGCATCATCTGTGCCCAAATGGTTGCCAGATTGGGGCGGCCCAGAGGGCTCTGCTGCAACGACGACCGTTGTTCTCCTTGGCTGATGCGCTCAACACGCGCACTCCGTAGTGTCACGCAGTCCCTGCTTGGGCTGCCGCGTCCCGGCACGCAGCCCAGAAAATTCCAAGAGGTCTTTGTCCTACTCTTCCTTCCCTGCTTCCTTCTCCTCCTCCTCTTCTTTCTCTCCTCCTCCTCCTCCTCCTCCTCCTCCTCCTCTCCCTCCCGTCCTCCCACCCTCCCTCCCTCCTTCCCTCCCTCCTTCCCTATTGATCCTTCCTCCCTCCCCTCCCTCCTTCTCCTCCCCCCTCTCTCCTCCTCCTCTTCCCTCCCTCCTGTCTCCCTCCTCTCCTCTCCTCCCTCGCTTGTCCTCCTCCTTCTCCTCCTCCTCTTCCTCCTCCTCTCCTCCTCCTCCCCCTCTTCTTCTTTCTCCTCTTCCTCCTCCTCCTCCTCCTCCTCCTCCTCCTCCTCCTCCTCCTCCCCCTCCCCCTCCTCCTCCACTTCCTTCCTCCCACTCCCTTCCTCCTCCGCCTCCCTCCGCCGCCTCCCTTCCCCTCAGCTTTGAGCCGGCTGAGGGTCTGAGCCAGCACTGGTTCCGGCGAGCAGGAAGGGAGGGGGAAGAGGTTTGAGGCTTTAGTTTCGAGAAGGTTCTGTTGCATTTCTCGGCCTCCGGGGGCCGTTTTTGGGCCCAGCACCGTCAAAAACGGGCCCGTGTCACGCCGTGTTGAAACATTGGGGAGTGAGGGATAAGGAGGGAGGTGGAAGGGGCTATTTCGATCCGATCCCTCCGATTCGATATCGACCCCGGCCAGCCCGATCCGGTTTCATTCCGATATTCCGACGATTCGGTGCGGCCCGATGCTTACATGGCGTTTTGGCGCAGCCGATCCGATTCGATTTCGACTCCGTGCCGATGCAGCCCGATCTGGTGCAAGTTTCGATCCGATCCGATTTTCTAGTACGATGCTGACTGATTCTGGGGAGGGAGAGGGGAGCAGGAGGGATGAGACGAGGAGGGAGAGCAGCAGGAGATTGGTGGATGGCAACGCGCTTTCCGCTTGCAGGACAGAGCGTGTCGCAGGGCCCGCCGCCGCGACGAGCAACAAATCCTCACCGTAGTCAGGGGACGCCTTTGCGAATCGATCCCTTCGTTCTGCTCGCCCTTGAGACCCCCCTCGGGCCATGTCTGGCATGCTCGCGTCGTGGCGACACGGCGGCGACCCCAGCGCGGGCGTTCATTGTTGAATGCAGCCAGTGGCCCAGGATCGGTCGATATCGAGTGATCCGCGCTACTGGTAAGCCGCGATCGTTCAAGGTCAATGGGTTCACGCGGTGTCAGAGACAAGCTCGCATGTCGCCACGACACGGGCGTGCCGTGCCCGCATCTTGTGCGGGGGGGGTGGGGGGAACGAGGGGGTTGTCGTTTAAGGGGCTTATTCGAATCATCGGCGACGTAAATATGAATTTTCGTAGGCCCCGCCGATCTCTTGCAATGTCTCTGCAAGCGCCGCCAAGGGAGGCACAGCGCTGACCCCAAAAATCGGCACGAACCTCCGACAGTTTATCAGTATGTGGGGTTGTCCTTCCTCTCGCGGGGAGCGAGGTGGTCGTCACTGACGAGGTTTGCCACAGAAGAACTGCTAGCAGTTGTCCCTCCGCCCCCTCCTCCCCCACCTCTTCCTCGCGAAGACGTCGGATGATGAGCCGCCCGGAACCGCAGGTGATTGCGGTAACGGTCCCCGGAGGGGACGACGCCGCCTTCAGGCGGCTACTGCAGCACCATTGGGCCGCTCCCCCCCTGGCCCTTGCAAGCTTCCAGGGGCCAGCTGGATCACGAGAAACGAAGATCGGGTAGGAGTCAGGGGAGGACACGATACCGATGCTCGTCCTGGAGGGTCTTCGTAGCCACGGCTGGACTCTCCTCTACATGATGGTCAGAGTGCAGCCCGGATGGAGAAGGAGAAAGGATCATCCAGGATGTAGGTAGTGGGACGACAAGGAGGAGGAGGAGGAGGAGGAGGAGGAGGAGGAGGATAGGGAGGAGGAGGAGGAGGAGGAAGAAGGAACAAATCACTGAAAATTTGCATTGTGACGTCATGATCATCTGGTATGCGCCAGGGCAGTGAAGATCATCATTGTCATCATTGCCGTCACCCACGCAAGTTGAATCATACCATCATCGTCACCATCATCAGCGGCACCGTCGTCGTCTCCAGCATCGCTGTCACCACCATGCGCTGCAATATAAAGCAAGTGACAAAGCAGGGGATGCCCATCAAAGAAAATGAGGCACATGTGAGCACAACGTAATGCATTCATTCATAATGCGTCGTACGCTGGCCGGTAATAGGGGAACAGTAGAGGCCTAACGCAGTTGGGGCGTTGATTTGGAAATCGACGGACTCCGCCGCCCGTTCTGCCGCCGTGGCATTGCCCTTTCTATGGCGGTCTCCAGTGTCTGCCATGCTGCCTCGAGGCCATATTTGATTTAGCATCCCTCCCGATAATGGTGCCCTTTGCTGTTGATTTGGTTCCACTGTATGTCCTGCATGCTCTGTTTATTTACGTTATGCATGCAATCATGGGCACAGGCACGAACGCCGCCACAATGATTGCCACAAGGAATCGCCATTGCCTGGTGGCACACAAGAGACAAGTAGGGAGGGGCAGAGGAGTCGAAAGAGAGAGAGGGAGCGAGAATCGGCGTGGGGGTATTGAAGTGCTGGGGAGGAGGGAGAAGGAGTGGGACGCGGGGGGCTGAAGGAAGGCAGGGAAGCCGAGGTGAGGGGAGAGACAGGGACAGTGGGGGAGGCACACTGAAAAGCACAAACGTCCCCTGTTTCCCCAAACATTGCTTGCACCTAAGGGTCCTTGCTTGGGGTGCTGAGTAACAGGATGGGTACACGGAGCTTTCGCCTGGTGCTTGGTTGGTGTCCGCCCATGGGCGCTTCGTGGGCGCCTCGTGGCCACTGGTGGCGATCCCTGGGCACCACATAGCTTCCACAACCCGGTTTGCACCACGTAGCTTGCAGGACATAGCTTGCACCACATGGCTTGCAACGCACAGCTTGCACCCCACATATCCCGCCCTATACACAAGTCCATAAAGTAGCTTGCAACGCACAGCTTACTCCATGTAGATTGCACCACATCTATCACACCACCTAGTTTGCGCCACATTCAGCGCATCACAACGCTCTTGCCACACGTATTGCACCACAGCGGTTGCAGTGCAGAGCTTCTTGCACCACATAGACAACAACTCATAGACTACAGCCATATTGCACCAGACGTCTTGCACCAAGTATCTTGCTCCACCCATGTTCCACCATATGTGCGTATGCACCTACCACCGCATATTGCACAACGTAGCTTACACCACATGAGATACACATCCGCCGTGCAAGACCGCATTGTTTGGGTTCAATCTGGACGACCCATCTGTTGGAACGTTCTTTACGCAGACCCGCGCAGAAGCCCCACAGGCCCTGGACGTGTGGGCGGGGGCGCCGCAGACGGAGGAGGACGTGCGGCGGACGCAGTTGTACCAGGACTCCGCTCGCTCGAGGGGCTCCAGCGGGGAGGTCCGCTGTTTTTTTTCTTCTTGGCGTTTCGTAATGCGTGGGAGAGGTTGTTTTGTTATTCGGTGACCCCCGTAAAGTCCATTGCGGGGAGTCACCTCCCCTCCTCCCCTTCTGGGTGCCTCTTGGAGCCGAAAGGGTAGGATTTTCGGTTCGCGGTTCGTGTTCCTTTTCTTGGATCCTTTTGGGGGCCGTCTTAGGGCCCTCTTGGGCCGTCTTGGGCGCCTCTTGGGTCGTTTTGGGGCCCTCTTAGGCCGTCTTGGGGGCCCGCCCCTTCCAGTAACAGTACAGGACGTAAGGGGGGGCGTTTCCCCCGCAGGCATGTTTTGGTGCTCACAGGCATGCTGCGGTGCTGACAGGCATGCTGCGGTGCTCACAAGCATGCTGGTGGCGCTCGCAGGCCCAACTCCCTCACCTTCCCCCCGTGACGGACGTCACGCTGGGAGAATAGAACACAATCTCGAGCGACAACTTGGAGGGGATCTAGGGTTGAAAGAAGGGGGCCCTCTAGGGGTCCACCTTGGCCCCGAACGTGCACGAAAGGTGTCCCTCTCTTCTATCCCCCGCTCATTGCCCCCCGGTCAGCAACGCCCGACGTTTTTGTTTGCGCTCGTCCAGGGGGCGACGAGGGCGACGACGACGACAAGGAGGCGGGGGAAGATCGAAGACATGCATGCACGCGACTTTTCGAGCCGTATCGATCAGTGAGGGCCTTGCGGCGTGAATTAGTCGGCGAAGAGCGGTGTGACATGATTTGCTCAGCCATTGGGGGCGCCTATCCCAGGGCGGCTGGAAAGTCGATAGCCCACCTGCCACCGTAGGGGCATAAACTTTTAGCCGTGCCCTGAGACAGGTGCCCCCCATGGAGTAACGTGTACGTCATCAGAGTGAGGGGGCCGAACGGTCTTTCACTGTTGGGTGCGTGGTTGAACTGGGGTTCCGCGGTGCGGATTGTGGTTGCGTTGTTGTGTTGCGCTGTTGCGTTGTTATCCTTCGTTCTCGCTCGCGGCTCGCCCGTGACCCACCCGCGGCCCACGCCGTGACCACCCAGCGAGCAGCCCCACAACCCACACTGCGACTCAACCGCGACGACACAGCTGCGATCCACCCACGTTGCTTTGACGGAAAGATCGGCGCTTGCGGCGGGCTCGTTGTGTAGTGTGGAAAACAATCGGGACCGTAGCCTAGCTCAAGCTTTCTGGCTTGAGCCGTCCTGGCTCGAGCACGCCCCGCTTCAGGTGTGCGCCGGGCCCGGGCTTCACTGGGGATGCGCTGCGGAGGTTGCTGCTGCCCGCGCGGGGCCGGCGGCCGGCGGCTGGCCTGGCCTGGGTGTTGGTGGTGCTGCCGGCCCTCTGGGGGCGGCCAGCGGCGGCCTGGCGGCGCTCTCTCTGCCAGCTGCTGCCGCTGTCGCTTCTGCTGCCGCTGTTGTTTCTGCTGCCGTCTCCCCAGCGGCGGCGGTGACGGCGGAGGGCGGCGGAAGCGGCGCCGCTTCTGCCGTCGATGCCCGCGCCACCCGAGCCGCGGGGCTTGCGCCCCGCCTGCCGCCGCCCGGTGCCGCCCGCCGTGGTGTTGGCGCATGCGGCGTGGCCGCGGCTGCTTCCGCCGCCCTGCCATCGGCGCCACGCCTGACGGAGGCCCAGGGCCAGGCGGGGGGCGTGCCAGCATTGGGTGCTTGGCGGAGGCCGAGCGCCTGGCTGGTGCAGCTGGGCCAGAGACCGCGCGCCTGGCGGACACCGAGCTGCTGACGGGAGCGGGGTTCCCGGACGAGGCCGAGCGCCAAATGGAGGCCGCGCGCCTTCCTTGGCTGGATGCCCAGCGTGCGGCGGCGGTGGAGCACACTGACGGCCAGGAGGCCGAGCGCGTGGCAGAGGCCGCGCGGCTGGCGGAGGCCAAGCACGCGGCCAGGCCAGAAGCCGAGCGCGCATCGGAGGCCGAGCAGCTTGCTGGAGTGGAGGCCGTGCGCCTGGCGCAGGTCGAGGGCCTGGCGGAGGCCGAGCGCGCCTACCCGACGTCCATCCTGACCCCTTGCCTGGCGCCCAAGCCCACACCCAACCCCCAGCTCCACCCTCTGCCCTGCCCATTTTCCCGTGGCCCCCCTCCCTACAACCCTCCCAGCTTTTCCCCGACGCCCAGCCTTACTCCCTGCCCGACGTCGCACTCGACGCCGACTCCGACGCCGTTCCCGACGCACCTCCGCCGACGTCGCACTCGCCGTTCGCCCTGCTGCACGCGACTCCCGACGCCCTGCCCGTTGTCCATCCCGACGCCCCTTCCGACGCCCAACCCTGCACATGGTCCTCTGACATCTCGCTCGACGCCCTGCCTGGCGCCCGTGCCAACACCTTTTCCCGGCGACGGCGCCCAGCACCATGTCCAGCCTAGCGATCTGCCCCTTGCCCCACCCACCGCCCAGCTAGGATCGTCCCCAGCACAGCCAGGAGCACCGACGTCGGTTTCTTCCCCAGCACATCCGGTGACATTTATGCCAGGATGCTGGCTGGCCCAGCTGGGAGCACCGGCGCCAGCACTTTCACCAACGCAACGCGGATCACCGACGCCAGCATCTTCGCCATCACAATGTGGATCACCGACGTCAGCATTCCTGCCAGCACAGTGCGGATCAACGACGCCAGCATTCTCTCGCCAGCACGCTGCGGATCATTGATGTCAGCAGCCTTGCTAGCGCAGCCGGAAGTACCGACACCAGCTCCTTAGCCAGCATCGCCGGGAAAAACAGTGGCAGAATCACCGCTGGCACACTGCGGATCCACAGCGCAGCCATCTTCGTCATCACGAACACCAGAAGAGGTTGACCGCAAGAACGGACTGGAGGACGGGATCCTGGTGGAGGAGGGCGACCCCCTGTCGCAGCGGTGGGATTCGCCTCGAAATTGTGGCCCAGCTTGACCTTCGGAAAGACTGATCCGGCTTTGTCCCGCCCTGGCTCTGTTGGCATGCGCATGCCTTGACCACGAGATGCTTTGGTGTTGTGCCGTCATGGTGATGTTCTGGCCTCGTGCCGCCCTGGCGAGAACGTCGCACCTCGGCCGCTGGGACCGGCTGAGGCGGCTGCTCGCGGGGTGAAGATACCGGCGCAGATCACCGTGCCTGCGCAACGGTGCGCACAGGCGGTCTCCTTTACAAACAGATCGGGCCTCTCTTCGGTGACTTCTTGCCCGTGCTGGACCGTGCTTCCGACGCTCAGCCCGCCCTCCGGCACGGCGCCCAGCCAGACGCCAGAGATGCTTCGGCTGTTTGGCTGCCGTGGAGCTGATGACGTGCTTGTGCCTACCATTCCCGAGGATTCGGTTTGGCCCCGGCCCTGGCAGCCTGGTGGTCGTCCGAGCGACCCTGGTTGAGGACACGGTGGGCTTCGGCATTTCGCTTGGCGCCGACTCCGAGGAACGACAGCAGGGCCCTGGGCGAGACAAGGGCGCTGACGTCCAGGCGACTCTGCTGCATGGAACCAGATGCCTTGGCATTGCACCTGGAGCCGACTCGAGGGATCAGCCCCATGACCCTGCACAAGATGAGGGCGCCGACGCCAAAGCGACCCTTGCGAAGGTCGCGGGAGGCATCGGCTTTCAATTTGGAGCCGGTTCGGGGGGACAGCATCAGGACCTTTTGGCGAGACGAGGGCTTGGGTGACTGGGGCGGCTCCTCCGAGGAAGAAGACGAGGCACCCGGCAGCGGACTGTCTTGGAACGAGCAATGCGCAGCAGCCGCGGCCGGCCTGTGAGGCGCAGAGTCTGCTTTTGATTCACGTTCCGTTCCGCGTCGCCTTGTCTCGCCCCAGGACCCAGGGTTTCTAGTGGGGCCGGTGCAGCCGACTGATATCGAGTACTTACACCGAGCACGTGCGTTGGACGGAACGCGCGCTGTGCGAGGCGACGCGCCTCTGGCCTCTGGACGACAGGTTCCCCTGGACTTTCGCCCACCAGCGGGGGCGGTTGAGCGGGAACGCGGATTTCGCCCAATGCGTTGTCTGTCTTGATTCCATCTGGGGGGGCGCCGTGTGGAGGGCCCACTAACGGCCCCCTGCCCTTCCGGTGCTCATGACAGACGGCAGGGGCCGGTGGCGATGGCAGCGCGGGGGAAGACATCGCGGCCGCGGCCGTTTCCCTGGATGCAGGTGCCGCCGCTATCCGCCGACTGGCGGATCAAGGCCACTGCGCGCCCTTTCAGGGCGACGACGACGCTCCCGCCGAAAGAGGCTCAGCTGGGGAGACTGGAATCGGCGCGCCTGGCCCCCGCGGCCCCGACCACGCCCGCGCCGCCCCGTGGACCGACGGCGCGCTCGGCCTCCCCCCGGCTCCAGCCACGCCCGCGCCGCCATTCGCGCCGCCCATCCCTGGCCCCAGCCGGTCGACGATGTGCCCGGCGGTCCGCCCTGCAGCCTTGGAGCGCAGTCGACGTGGAGGCCATTGCTGTCTGATCCCCGCGACACCCCGGTGGAAGAGGCCTCGTGGGAGACCGAACAGGGCGCTAACAGCGACCGTGGCCCTCGACCCCGCCCCCGACCGCTTCCCAGCCTGGCTTCTCCCATCGGCGCAACAGCCCTGGGACCCACTGTTGGCAGCCGACCCTCCGCCGAAGCCCGACCTCGACGGCGCCGGCGATCAGACGACGGTGCTCCGACAGCCCTGGGTGCCACAAGCGGCAGCCGATACCCGTGCAAACCCAGCCCCCGGCGTCGGCCAGCCACCCCGCCTCGGCCGTGGAGCTGATTGCTGCGTCCGCGCGGGCGGGCGCGACGGCCAGCGACCGCGAGAGCCCTGGCGCGCCTGGGGCGTCTCCAGAGAGCCCCGGCAGTGGACGTCGAAGCGCTGCACAATCTGCATCGCGGGCTGATCCGCCAGGAACCCCTCGGCGGCGAGACGCCTGGCGAGTGCGTCCAGCGGTTCCAGCGCGAGGCCGGGCCCAGCTGGGGCCGGCCCGTTGACCCGTCCGCTCCCACCTGGACCTGGTGC